TCTGGTCATATCCTAAGGTTGGGCTCAGGGAAAAGTGAAAATTTAGAATTTGAGGATTCAGGTTACTCAACAGCAACTTGTATTATCATGAGGCTGGACGAAACACAGATAGTGATCTAGCCCACTTGCTAGGATAAGAGATAAGGAAAAACCAAGGTACAGAGGGGTAAAGGCATTTCTCCAGAGTTCATGCAGTATATTATTTCCCAGTGCCCACTGATACAAATGACTGCTGCCCTGAGGGGCATCTAAGGGCCTTTCCTGGGTCTGGCTGAGATGAAGTCAGCTAGTGATTCTAATTGGTATTTGATAATACCCCTTCTCTGGCACATCGGTGCTTCTCTCTGGCTACAGCATTTGTCTAAAGGACTGCATCAGACACCATGCTGGCTGGGTGAATCAGAAACCAGACAAGTTCCCAGGAAGTTCTCTTTTCTTTTATAAATAACTTTGGCCTGATTTTGCCATTTTAATTCTTTAAAGTCACAAAATAAAAAGTTAACTAGAAATGGTTTAGAAATAAAACCCCTGTACATATAATAACTGGTGCCAAACTTCCTAAAACAAGCCAAACTACTTGAAGCGGGATTCTGGTGCCTTAAACACCACGACCTTTGGTGATCCAGCATAGTGACACGAATGATGCTAGTATTTTCCTCTTTTAATAGACAAATGTAACCAAACATTCACTAATGTGGCAAAGTTCAGAATAAGCTATGTCTAATGATCAGAAAGCCTCAATTACAGAATATCTTCAAAAAACAGAGTTGGTGCTTCTTTCAAGTTTAAATTAAAAAAAAATAAAAAAAATAAAGATAACAAAAATTTTAAAAAATGAAAAAGATAACAAAAATAAAAAAATAAAAAAGAAAGAAAAAAGAAAAAAAGTTTAAATAAAAGATTTACCGTGAACTTCAACATTATGGGTACTATATGCATATCATGGTAACTGGCAGCAGCAAATATTCTCGCATTAAATGTGGATAAAATGATTTATAATTACTACATCAACTGTTTCCTGAGAAATGGGCACTTCTGAAATGAATAAGGACATCTAAGAACAGTTTTATGTAGCAATATGAGTATAGCATATGACAATTTTAAAAGTGTATTTCTATATCATAATATCTTTCATTCTCACAACAGAACTGCTTATCCAGAGTTATACTGAGATAATGAAACTCAGAATGGCTGGAGAACAGTGGACGCAGGACTAAAAACCAGGTTTTCTGCTTCAAGATTCGTATCTCACACTGACCCCAGAATCTCTTCGTATCAATTCCCTTATTTAATCCTCTCTTCCCAATCACCAAAGGAGAGGTTCTGTACCAGCTCTAACAAACAGATTACAAATTCTAAAATAAAAAGTTCAAATTAATGGAGTTCTCTTGGAAACAGAAAAACGGGCTCAACATTTTAAAAGGTCCCTCTCAAGGCTTAGCCCTCTGAAGTAGTTGCTAAATGCTAACACGACTGCAAACCACAGAAACTTCATTAATGACGCACTGAAACTCAACAGCAAAATTTGTTTACTAAAAAGATAAAAAAGAAGTCAGATAATGAAAGAGATTTATTCAAATAAGGACTATGAAAACATGTCTAAGCTCAGAAACATCAACTTTTAAAATAAAAACTAAATTGCTATCCAAATCCTCTATCCATCTTGCTTACTACAGAGCATGTATATTAGCTTTGGATGAATGGAGTCTGAGACAGATTTGGCACTTGGTACATTTTCAGGGTGTAAGAAACACATTCTGCATATACAGCTCCTTTTAAAAGAAACTGAGAAGGCAGATGCTTGCTTATATGATGAGAAAACGTGCCATCAGCCCTACCTCGTCCAGTTTCCCTAATAGCTTTTGTGACAAATTTCAGTTTACAGAAATTGTATTTCAAGAAGCTGTCCTTCCTTGCTGCAGTCACGTAGTCAGAGTCATAGTGCACATGCTGGTGTGGGAACATCACGCTGGCAGAGGGAGGGCAGCTGGTGCCAATGTCTCTAAAAGCAGCCCCATGTTAACCTGCCAGGTCTCATGTTCTTCATCTCCTGTGGAAGCCCAGGTTTCGTCTGGAACAGAAAACCAACTAGCTTCTTATTGAGAAGGAAGTTCCAAGAAAGCTCACTCTGGAATGAACATACTTTGGAAGTATTAATAAGACAGGAAAATAGATTATGTCTTTGTATGAGTAAAAAGTAAGTCTAGATATGTTTCAGATCCTTTTCAATAAATGTTTGGAGTCATAAGAACTGAATGAAATGATGAGAAAATGGAGGGACTAGAGAACTGTTACGTGTGTTATTAATATGCCAACAAGATGCCCACAGTACAAACTTTATATGCATCTAAGCCTTCTGCCCTAAAAAACAGCAAGACGGAATGGAAAAAGATTGGTTAAAATAAGAGGAAGGTAAGAAGAACTTCAAGGAAAAAGGAAAAAAAAGGAAGGAAAAAGAAAAACCCAACCCCAAACCTAAGCATGCAGGTGCCTGAGTTATTACAGTAGCTCCTGGCAAAGTGACAGAGTGAAGTTTTATAAGGAAACTCCAAGGGCAATGAGTCAAGGTGAGTCAAAGTATGCAAAGCAGGAAGGCCTGCCAGTGCAGGCACTGTTCCCAAACACATCTCCTCCCCGGCTCAACCTCGAGTCAGCAACAGCAGCACAGGGACCCTTGGAGCCGAGCGCGGCTAAGTTTATTTTAAGCAGGATATATTTTCTGCTCTTTTCCCGTGGGCAATTTAAAAGGCCTCATACCTGAGAATTTTCTCTCCTAAATTTCCAATTTTGCAGGAAGAAAAAGATCTCCCAAGAAAACAGTAAATAGTAAATCAATTACTTAATTTTGTTCACTTACACTTCTTAGGACTCACTTTAAAGACAGGTATCTTCCAACTGCAGAGTCAGAGAGTGCATGCCAAGACACCAGGGACAGCTTGGCATTTCATTTAAATGCCAAGTCCAAATATGTACTGCCTCATGAAAACAACTGATATCATCTCTATGTAAAAGAACATCAGGCCAGGTACGGTGGCTCATGCCTGTAGTCCCAGCTACTCAGGAGGACTGCTTGAGCCTGGGAGGTGGAGGTTACAGTGAGCACACGTTGTACCACTGCACTCCAGCCTGGGTGACAGAACGAGACCCTGTCTCAAAAACAGAGCAAAATGAAACAAAATAAAAAGAACACCATTTTAATTTCACTTTTTTGATCATGTATTCTCATTAAGGAGAAGCAATTATGGTTTTAAAAAGTTAGCACAAGCCAGTGGCCCCTTAAAGGAGACAGAAAACCTAGCTAGTATCTCAGTTCTGCCATTAGTAACTGCTGTGCACACAGTTCCTCCAGGACAAGCTTGTCCAACCTGTGGCCCAGGATGGTTTTGAATGCAGCCCAACACAAATTCATAAACTTTCTTAAAACATTATGAAAATTTTTTGTAATTTTTTTAGGCCCATCAGCTATCATTAGTGCATTTTACGTGTGGCCTAGGACAATTCTTCCAGGATGGCCCAGGGGAGCCAAAAGACTGGACATCCCTACTCCAGGACCTTCCTTCCCCACTTGGGAATCACTATGTTGATCATGCTAGCTCAGCTGGTCTTCACGTTTTTTAAATGAGTTATTATAAATGAAAAGTGCTTTGTTCAAATATGAGTGATTATCACCATCATGCAACCAAGCTAGGTTTCGGAAACCCAGTTATTATAGTCTGAAAACACACCCATCCCCTGTGTACTGTGTGCTGTTTTCTTGGACTAGCAGGTGGAGAGACCCAGTCTGAGGACAAGACCCTTGCCCTTGCTGAGCTACAACTGTGGTAGAGGTTTGAAGAGGTCAAATCGGTCCCTGCTCAAGCAGCCACACAAATGCCAAATAGAACTATGATCTAGGGTCTGACTCTTAATGTAGATGGAAGAGCTGCATTAATTATAACTCCCTTAATTCATGAGTGTGCTCACACGAGAGTCACACATGAGCCAAGAGCTCAAAACTGAGCAAGTAGCTACGTCTTACTGGGGTGCAGCCCATTACCTGGCAAGCTAAGTTTTCTGACGTTCTAATACATGATTTTGTTTCCCACAGTTCCTTTTACTGAAGGATGTCACTGAAATCATTTGTATCAGGACAGCTCCAGCTACCTCCCGACTCTCTGCAGGCTTCCAGCTACTTGAAAGCCTGGTGAGGTACAGGGGCTGGACAATCCAACAAGTAACAGGCTGAGCTTTTGCTGAGTGCGCACCCTCTGTGGCATGTCTGTAGGACACAGACACGTCCTGCTGCTCTCCACCAGGCAGCTGAGGTGCCAATGCGAGGAACTGCAGGGATGGCCTGCTAGCACTTTAAATATTCAAAAGTGAGGGGAAGAGGCACGGCAGAGCTGCCTGTACTCGGTCTCATCTTGCAGAGAGAAGCACACTGAAAAGCCGGGAGGGGGGAAGGTCAGTACAGCAGCGTGCTACCCACTGTTGGCAGGCGTGGGGCTGGAACCATCCCTGGCCATCTCATTTAATTCTCATGAGAAACTTTGTGGAAACATTCATTCCTATTTTACACACAAGGAAATGGGAGGCTCAGTAGGTGAAACGACTAGGCCACAGACCTGGAGCAAGGAGGCGCTGGTTCTGGGACTTGCATGTCAAAGCTGATCTCCACCTCCCACAGCAGACTACCAGAGGCCAAATGCCAGAAAGCAGCAGCAGACCCTCCCCTTTCACAAAGGCAGCAGGAAGCCGGGACATGGAACACATCTCAGGGACAGGGCAAGCCTGTCGGACACAGTGAGGAGCTGGGAGCTGAACAAATGGCACTGGCCCGGGAAATGCACCGCTGCTCAGCAAGGCAACAGCAATCGGGACTCCACTCTGTATTATGACACGGCCGAGTTCCAAGGAAGGGGCCCTTAAGCTGTGCACTGATTCTGACTCGTCTATCTCCACATCCCAACTGCTCCCCACGACCCATCTGTTCAGCACCCCTGGCCACATGACTGACTCACCTCCTTATGGGAGTCTTTGTGGGCTTCCAGAGTCTTCATAATTGTCAGCTCAGCGTAGTTTTTAAATCTTGCTGGTTGATTTCTCAGAATTTCCCTCAAAACTCTCAACGCCAGTGCTCGAATTGAATGCTGGAGTACAAGGGGAAAGGAAGACATCACCAAATGCCACACAGCACTTTCACACATGGCAGTCAACAGGGCCGGCAAGGCCAAGACCCAGTTCTGGGTTCCCTGGAACCCTGCAGAACCCTCTACACAGATCACAGTGATCAGCTCCATGAAGGCAGGCACTGTGCCTTAGGGTGACATTCCCAGGATTTAGCACCTGACAGGCACTGAAAAAAGCTTGAACAAGCCATACACTCTCGAGATCAAATGAGGATGCGACACCTAAGTTCATTATCGGTTTTCTGGGGATTTCCAGATTTCCTGAGGCTTCAGCCTACAAATTATCCTTCTGTAAAATGTAGGAAAGAATGTGTACAAAGCACTTGGATGTTTCATCAACACAGCCTGTAAGACTGTGAACTCCCTAAGGACAGCGGAAGGCCTGTCGTTATTCTGACCTTCCATGTGATGAGATCACTGGGTGTGTGTACATGCCTCGAGTTGGTTAAGGCCAGAGTCATGCATCTGGAGGAAAGCCATTCCAAACAGACTCCTAATCTCAATAAAAAAGAATGGCGTTTACACCAAACAGAGCCAGAAAGTACATCCTGATTCTTTGTCACTCATCTGTACAATTCACACACTAACACACTATTTACCTGTCCTCTATATGACATCACTTTATCTCCCAACAGAGCCGACAAGGCATAACTGCCTTACGAGCCAATACTTTGTCTTTTTTTTTTTTTTAAAGTAAAACAGTTTACTTATTACCATTCTTCTATCTTTACTTATCCCTAAACCAAACCATTAATCCGAAGCATCAGAAAGCTATCTGAGTCACCATGGCATGGCGTGCAGCAGCCTTCCTGTCACTTGGCTGCCATGCAAGTCCCCTCTAGTTTGCCCTGGGCATGGTCTGTCACCTCCTGGCAATCCTCCCCATCTCTGTCTTCCAGCTCCTCACCACAGCACTCTCTTTTCATTTCTGCCGGCCTACACAAAGCCAGTGTGGGCAGATAAGGTTTTTGTTGTAGAGGTTTAATTCTGGCAATTCCCAGCATCTATCCTATCTCCATATAAGGCACCAGCTCCAAAGGTAAGAGAACGCAGGACATCGACTAGATGACTCCTCCTTTTAAGAGTTCTCAATGTGCCACATGCAAATCACAGATCAGACCAAGCATGTCACAAATACCTAGTTTGTCACATTCAAATGTCCCAGCATGACGAAGCTTTTTTTATTTTAAAATTAATAATACAAAAGTAAGAATCATACTTCTAGAAACTGTCACTTGATTGATTAAAATTATTGGAACTGAGAACATATGTAAGGGGGAACCAAGATGGAATTTCATGGAATGTAGCATTTAATTGGGTCTTTAAAAAAATGAAACTTTTTCTCAATTACACATGAAACAAAAATGAAACTCACACACAAAAAAAGTGCATCCTAAAAGACCACATTCTATGTTAATGAAGTTTTAAGAAATTCTGTGTTAAAGCAACTAGATGCAGGAATGAAGTTTCCTCAACTACCATAAACCCAGCTGCAGGCTACGCACATATGCCAAGCAGCACCTTGTTGCTGATAAAAACACTACCTTACTAAACGTGCTCAGAAAATATGTGAAAAATGAATAAATACATGTTTTGATGTAAACAGTAAGCACAACCCGGAAAGTAAAGATGGAGCCAACCCCAGTGAGAAAAGGACATTGTGACCCCATTACATGGAAAGGGGCAAGCTAAGGCCAAACCAGCATCTCACGTCTTTGTCTCCAAGGGTCTCCAGCAGCAGGAGCAGAATGGTCTTGAAGTGCTCCTCCCAGACGCCAAGGCTGTCTTCCCGTGTGATTTTGAGCAACTCCAGCAGGGCTCCTTTCCGTTCCTCCACCCGCTCGTTGTGGTTGGACAGCTCTTTCAGAAGGTCAGCCACCAGGTCAGAATGGTCAATGGGCACTGGTGAGACACACCAGACATACATTACCTTGTGAGGAAATAGCTGGCACAGGGGCTCCCTCAGTGGTGCCCAGCGATCCTTCTCTTCCCGCCTCATCTCCCAGAGGTAACACCTCCTTCACCGTTCCCCTCCCGCCCTCCACCCTGCTTCGCTGTCCAGCCTCAGCCTACACACCCTCAGCCAACCTTCTCACCAAGTTCACTGTGAAAGCAGAGGTGCGAGACCAGCTGTCCAGCACCAACAGTCAATGTCTTCGCCCTTCCTTGCTATCTTTTTCCTTCTACTTCAGACAAGAGCAATGCCTGTATCTGCCAAAGGAGGGCCTCAACCCTCTTATTTTCCAAAACTCTCTCCCACTGCCACGGTCCTGAGTCAGCCCCACCACTGGACAGCCTCTTACCAGGGTCCAATCCACTCCCGTACACACATTCTCCTCAAGGCCTCCTCACCATCACATCTGATTATCATCCATTCCCTTCTGAAATGTCTACAGCTTAGGAACCAGCATGGTGAACAAATACCAATCAAGGTGTTTGGACTACTGGTGGACTATCTATGCGGAGAGTAAAAACTGGCCCAAGATGACTCAACATAGTTACCTGTAGGGCTGTGAACACGGTTTCTATGGCAGAAAGGCACATCCTTTCTCCTCCATGTTCTTTTAAGAAACCTCAACTCTGAATATTCAACTTTAAATAGAGAGGATGGAAAAACAAACAAATCAGACAAGTTATTAGGAACTACTTAAATGTGTATTTGCATATTTCTTTAATTTCTAAGATTGGGTAGCAAACACACAAGAAGGTCTGAAATGGTAAAGAACTCTGTCATTTCCTCCTGCCTTTTTCCTTAAGTCTTTTAGCACACAGTTGGTGAATAACCAACACTGTCATTTCTACTTTAATCGAGATCTATAAAGGAGAAGGTAAATAATTCTATAAGCAATGAAAACAAATAGTCCACTTCTCCCAGGAAGTGCCGGTCATTACAAACACTATCCCCTATTAGCTTACTGCCCAGTAAACAGATGTGTGGGCAGAGTTTGAGATACTACCCTCCAGCATATAAGCAATTAACAGCCAAGTGATTAGGCTTTTTATCCCTACAGCCATTTCCGCTTTCAGACAGTTAGAGAACTTCTCTCCTAGCTTAGCATTCCCCTACTGTCTGATCCTTGCAAAGATCAGCTTTCTTTTCTTTGTGCCCCCATTGGCTCTGGCATCTGCCTCCACCACAGGCAGTCTCTGGTACTAGTGTGACCACTATCAGTCTGCTCCCCTGACAGACCTTGAGCTCTCTGCGGCCACAGACCATGTCTCATTTACCTCGGTCCTTGGCAACCCATACACTTCATGACATACAATAGGCCCTCAGTGAATGTTAACTATTTAGAATTCTAATGTAGGTTCTAATTATTCATCCAAACTTGAGAAATAAAATAGGCTTCAAAACAATTTTTTAAAAGTACTATCAAATTGAAATAACTAAATCATGTAACATGAAAGGTGAAAAAAAGACAAAAATACCATTGTACCATGTACAAAAATATATATTCATCATTCACTGGTTTATTCAGTAATAGACACTGGTCTTAACATAGGAGCCAGAAAGAAAGCAGACTAGCTCTGCTTCTGCTCCATAATTCCTATGTTATATGCTTATGTTACATTTTGGGAAAATCCTTCTGACCCAACATGTAGCTTGGCACCACACATGATAATCCATGTGCTCAGTGTATGTCAGACCCCTGCCTCCCAAATGTAGCATGGAGGTCAGCACAGCTCCAGGGAGAGCTGGTTGCAAAGCCGATGTGAGAGGAGAGGGAAGCCTTGGAGCAGTGCTTCAGGATCTCACTCCACAGCTCAGGAGCTGGGACGTGCAGGCCCAAGGCCTTCACGAAGGCTGAGCCCATGCTCGCCATCCTGTTTGCTCCTCCGCCCTTTGACTGCCTGTGTCCTGGGTCCTGCAGCAAAGCTTCCCTGAAGGTAGAGGTAGCCTTTCCTCATGCACAGCTGTTCATATCACGTGTGACTGGTTATTTCCTCACTGCCCCGTGACCTGTGCTCTTGTTCATTGTCATGTCCCCCGTGCCCAAGCACAAGGTAGAGATGCAGTAAGTAGTGCTTGAACAAATGACTAAGCAGGAAGAACAGACCCAGTGTCTCCATTTACATCTGACCAGTGGGCCTGGTGCTGGCCAGACAGGAGGGAGCACATGGGAAGCACTCCTGGATGGGGACAGTTAAGCAAAGAGACACCAACCATCTCGAAGCTGCTCCATGTCATCATCGAACACAGCCTCCTTCAGGGCGGTCTTGTCGTAGGTGTTGATGGCATCTGAGTAGGGGTACGGGCTGTACTCTCGCGCCCGCGGCCCCGGGAAGGCACGCGGAGGCTGGGTGTTGAGTAGCGAGGTCTTGTTATCCAGAGCTGTCCGGCCTCCTTCTACCTCGCTGCCCCCCCGGCCCTCGGTGGCAGGAGAGGCAGCGCCCCCATCGCGGGACACCTGGAGCACAGCACACTGTCAGTTCCCTTCTAGGACTTGTAATGGACATTTCCTTTGAATGCTCAGAAATATTCAGAGAGCCAGAGATTTTCACTTGAAATATGTACGGCCAGTGGCAAAAAGACAGCTATTAGTATTCCAACGTAAAAACACCAAATCCATAAACTACCGTAAAAGGAACAATAGGCCTGCATTTGCATCTAGTCTTTACACTTCAAATCTGCTTTACTTTGTAAACGGGTGATTCACTTTACCAAGAGGTCTTCTGAGGGATACCATGCAACTCAGAAGGACCCTGAGAAGGAAAGGCTGCCCACTCACACCACTGCTCTCAAGGACCACACCAGCAATCGGGGCTTCTCACTGCAGCCCTGCCCCTAATTAATTCCTTGTACTATGTGTATTCCCGCCTAGTGCTGGGCCCCAACGCTTCACAATCTCCTGTGACAGAGAACCCAGCACTTCCTAGGCAGATCATTCTTCTTTCAGATATTTCTAATTCAGAGTTGTCACGCTGGATCAAAGAACAGGTCTTAAGTATTTTCCGAATTTTGGTTTTTCCCCTAGTATATTCTGAATGTTGTCTTCAACAAATTCAACCGCTGGCCCTCTAACTGGCCCCTTGCCATGGTATTGACCCCTTTGCTCTTATGGTCCTCTCCTATGGGGCAAACCACTGGTCTAACCCCTTTGCAGGTGGCACTGTAGCCCAGCAGGTGTGGGCTGGCTGCTGGCAACGTGGCCAGACTGCTTTCCTCATCCCAGACATCTGACTACCCGACAATGGTGGAAACATTCCAGGCAGCCAGAACATGTTGGTGACTCGTATGGCAACATTTTTACTTGTGCTGATGACAAGATACATTTCTCTCATTTTGTGCTAATGCATTTACACTTTTTTCCAGTTGTGGAAAAGTAGACGTAACATATTTTAATAATTTAGAATTCAGCGACATTAAATACATTCATGATGTTGTGTAACCATCACCACTATGTAAACCCCAAAACTTTCTCATCATCCTCATTAAAAACCCTGCACCCTCATCCCTCTCCCTTTTTCTGCAACCCCTGACAACCTTTATTGTACTTGTCTCTCACAATCTGCCTATGGTAGGTACCTCAGATAAGTGGAATTGCTGAACACATTCCACTGTGTGTATACACTACATTTTGTTGATCTGTTCATCTGCTGAGGGGCACTTGGGTTGCTTTCTTCTTTTGGGTCTTGTGAATAATGCTGCTATGAAACACTGGTGCACAAATATCTGTTCAAGTCCCTGCTTTCAATTCTTTTGGATTTGTATCTAATGGAGGTGCTGGGATGTGTTTGGTTTTTAACACCCACAAACAAAATCTTATATTAATTTAATTAAGATGTGAAAAGTAGTTCTTTAGAGAAGTATGAGAAGCGACTAATACAACATCCTCCCTAGGCACCACAACTAGCCACAGGTCTCCTGGATGCTGATCCTGTGCTTATCTGTCTGCCTCTCCGATGACACTGGAGCTCCCAGAAAGCCATGGTGGTGTCTGGTTCAGACTCACCATTTTTATCACATCATGAAACAAAACTATGTCCAGAATGAGCAAAAGCAAACTGAGAAAAAAGGCACTTAACATTCCTTGACAAGATAGCTGAGGGTTACTCTTTTGAAATTTTATAAAATTAATTACCTTGGACCTTTCAATACTATTTTATGGTTATTAGCAAAAACACAAAAAACAACAAAGGTGAGGATGTGGAGAAAAGGAAATTCTTATGTACTGTTGGTGAGAAAGTACATTAGTATAGCCGTTATGGAAAACAGTATAGCGGTTTCTCAAAAACCTAAAAATGGAACTACCAAACAACCAACAATTCCACTACTGGGAATTTATCCAAAGAAAAGGAAATCAGGATATCAAAGAGATGCCTACATCCTCTTGTTTATTATAGCACTGTTCACAATAGCCACGATAAGGAATCAATCCAAGTGTACATCAACAAGTGAATGTATAAAGAGAATGTGGCATATATACACAATGGAATACAATTCAGCCATAAAAAGAAATGAAAGGCTATCATTCACAGCGACACAGATGAACTGGAGGACATTATATTAAGTGAAATAGGTCAGGCACGTTAAGACCAATATCATATGTTCTCACGCATTTATGGAAACTAATAAGAGTTGAGCTCATAGAACTAGTGAGTAAAAGTGTGGTTACTAGAGACTGGGAAAGGTGGGGTTGGAAAAGAGGCTGGTTAATAGCTACAAAATTGCAGCTAGGTAAGAGAAATAAGTCCTAATGTTCTATAGCAGGAGTCCCTAACCCCCAGGCCATAGACTGGTGTTGGTCTGTAGCCTGTTAGGAACTGCGCCGCATAGCAGGAAGTGAGCAGCAGGCAAGTGAGTGAAGCTTCATCTTATTTACAGCCTCTCCCCATGGTTCACATCACTGCCTGAGCGCCACCTCCTGTCAGATCAGGGGCAGCATTAAGTTCTCACAGGAGCGTCAACTCTATTGTGAACTGTGCATGCCAGGGATCTAGGTTGTGTGTTCCTTATGAGAGTCTAATGCCTGATGATCTGTCACTGTCTCCCATTACCCCCAGACAGGACCATCTAGTTGCAGGAAAACAAGCTTAGCGCTCCCACTGGTTGTACACCATAGTGAGTTGTATAATTATTTCATTATATATTACAATGTAGTAATAATAGAAATAGAGTATACAATAAATGTATTGTGCTTAAATCATCCGCAAACCATATTCCCGTCCCCTGGCCCGGTCTGTGGAAAAATTACCTTCCACAAAAACCGGTTCCTGGTGCCAAAAAGGTTGGGGACTGCTGCTCTATAGTGCCGTGGGGTGAATACAGTTAACAACAGTTTATTGTGTAATTCCAAAACACTAGAAGAGAGAATTTTTCAATGTTCCCAACATAAAGAAATGATAAATGAGCTGACGGATGTGCTAATTACCTTGATTTGATTATTATACATTCTATACATTATCAAAATATCACTTTGTATCCCATAAATGTGTATAATTATTACATGTCAACTAAAACTAAAAGGAAAACATTATTGTAACTACAGGATAAAAATAATGATGAAGTTGAGTAATCGTGATGGTCAGTGTTCAGAAGTCTCAATATCCATAATCTAACTAATACAGAGTTATCTCTTAGTCTAGGGATACTTACAATATCACATTCCTTTTTGCCATCTCGTTTAATTGGCTCATTCAGATCTTCCTGGCTTCGAAAACTAAACTTTTCAATGGCTTCTGTAACTCCACGTAGAGAACTATAGATTTCTTCAGAGTTCAGGTTCTCTGTATCATAGTCCAGCATGCTAAAGATCAAAAATATTTATTTCTTAAAATGAGGAACATACATAGAACTGAGATATGGGTGTAAGTTACTTCCAGTAATTTATAGAGTAAGACATATTTATAGTTTTGTTTCTTGGGTGATTTGGAATGAAAAGGAGACATCTTTTATTAGAGTACCACCACTGGACAATTACACATCTTCCTTGTCAAATCTGCCAAACACATTACATCAGCACTCAATAAAAACCAGTGGGAAACAACAGTAACCACGAGAATGTAGGAACTCAAAGAGTGACACTGGTGACTGAAGGCACAAGATAATGAAAGTGGAAAAATAACTTTCTTATTTTGAAGATGAAAAAAAAAGAGTTTGGTTGTTACTGGTCTCAAATGTACAAACTTAGGAGGAATGGGCAGTTGGAAATAAAGCTAGTAGTACAAACAAATTTCAAAGGAGCAAAGTAAATGACCTCACAAGACTAGGCTATACTCCCAGGTATTCAATCCAGAAAACAAATAAAACCCTATTAAAAACAAAAACAAAAACAAAACAAGCTTAGACTCAAAGTCAGATCCACCCTACAAACAGGCCCAGAAAGTCTAACTGTCACATCATCTCATCCAGGAGCTTGCTGTGAATATCAGACTCTCCTACATGTTTCTATTTGGAGTTTTGTAATTACAGCAGGTTTTATAAAAAGTCACGTTCCTGGATGGATATCTAAAAATCCTCATAAAAGCAAGAAATATTTGTTGTTCATGGAAAAGTGTTACTGACTGCTGTCTTTATAGACACTGGGCAGAGCAAAACATGAAATGAAGTGCAAAAACCAAACAATCCTTTTTGGTGCACTGTAGTTTGCGACAAGTGCCTTTTAGATGTCTAGAAAGTGCACTGAAACAGGGAGAATCCTGAGAACAAAAACCATCCTGAGAATATAAAAGAAAAGCATGGGATGGACATATCAGCATAAAGCAAGCAAAACATGAAGCAACAGTCAACCAAGGGCAAGTTAAAAAAAAAAAATCTTAGTTTTAATGTCACTTATTTCAAGAAAGTTTCAAGAAAAGATCAGATAAGTTCATCCAATTTAACCTTCAAAAAGTCCTGAACTATACTGAGGATTGCTAAGGACACACAAAAGGAATCTTTGGCTATACATAAGTAAGCATGCGACATTGTTTAAGGACTAAAGAAAAGCAATCTTCCTGTTCTTCAAAAGAGTAATAACTGAAGAAACTAAGTATCCTTCCTAAGGGCAACACAACCAATCCTGTACATTCCTAAAGTGAGTTTCCTGTCATGTAAAAATGACGAACATTTACTAAGCACTCTTCCTTGAGTACTCTGCCTTTAAACAAAAAAAGTGTGGGCAGATGAGCAAGATAAGATTTGGAGAGCTCTCACTTGGAGTGGCCAGATCTCTACTGGCTTGATGTTGCAATGATCCAAGTGTTTTCTAGGGCTGGTGCTGGTAGGTTCTAGAGCCCAAGAGCTGACCACACTCTCCAAGATGGGTGCTATTTGTCTAGAATTGTAAATATGACCCAGATAAAATCCACCTTTCCTGATGAATGAAAGAAAATACACAACCCAACTGTATTTGGAGAGTTCACAAAAAAACATTTCAACTCAAAGATTGACTTGAGCACCAAACAAAAAGAAATGTGAACCTTGAACAGGTTTGCTGTTGAAATTCCAGGTCTATAACTGACAGGAGGTATAATAAAAAACCTGAACAGAATTTAAGATCTCAACCTCTTCTACCTTCACAAGGCTGTCTGTCAAAAAGGCAACACACCTTAGATGTGAGGAAGGCATGACCGAGGGGCCAGAGGCTCCCCTCCTCCTTCTGAGAATATCACAATACAAGGCATTTATACATCTGGCCAGTACACTTATTTTTTATATATAAAGACTGAGTATTATGACTCAAACAAAAAATATATATACAACACGTAAAAAAAAGCCTTAAAATACTTTTAATCACAACAACCAAAAATAACAGCATAGCCCATGCAAAAGAAAAAAATCCAAAAAACTGAATGATGGGATGAACAAGAGGAAGTCTGGCGGAACGTTTAAGTTTTTTAAGGGATGTCACAATATTATTTTCCATTATGTCGCTTCAGATAATGTCAGCTTTCAGATAATTCATCTCATTATTCTTAACCTGAACTTTCTTAAAAATTATTTCATTTCAGTTCACATCACTTCACTCTTACAATAGCCTCTTTTATTTTTAAAACAGGAAAATAAAGGATTCTGCCAGGTAATTTCCTTTTTCTCGCTTTCAATTAATAAACCAACTCCCACACCCAATTCAGGAGCACCATTTGCAGAACCAAGAACAATCGAAGGTGTCTTCTTTTAGACTTACTAGCTTGAGGTTTGAAGTATCTCCTTGGTATGAAGCTAAAACTGTGAGCTCCAGGTGAGAGACATAACTGTTTAACAGGAAATGGACCATGCTGCTTTCTTTGCTATCTTTATGCTGTGGCTTGATTCGTATTTTTCCAAATCAGTAACTGTTAAGTTCTCACTTATAGGAAAAAGACGTTCCCATGAAAGCCATCATCAGGGAGGGTACATAGTGTGTCCTCACAAGCAGTATATAAAGGAGCAGCACAGCAGGACAGCCTTAGAGGCTGACTGAGAAGAGACCTGGGGAAACCTCAATCTGCCATCTGCCCCATAGCCTATCTTGTTTCAGTCCTGAGACAACTCCAGGACATACTCCTAGGGTTAAAGGTCAGGCCCTGGTCACCTGTAAACACTCTGGTTAGGCTCCAGAAGGGCTCCCTTAGGGTATTTAATATTAGGGAGAATTGCTTAATCAGTCAATAGTCACTGACTTAAGGTTAGGCCATACCACCTAACATGGAAGCTGAATGCAGCCCTGGGCTTGCCCACTAAAGGATCCATGGTGTGGGTAGGGAGGAGAGCATGGGGTCAGGTCTCCAAGAAGAGAGAAACTGGAGAGAGAAGTCTGCCTTCTTTGTGATTCTGTAGGGAAAGGATACAATGCACAGAATAAGGACAGTCATTCCTTGTTATGGAATCAATAGGATTTTGGCACAGAGGAAAGAGACAGACATATAGATTCCCTCGTAACCAATAGGTTTTCTAAATGTAAAAGTCTCTAGTCAACTAACTCTGCCTCCAATGGGCAAAAGAAATTGTAAGTATTTGTTAAGCATTCTCTTTTAATGAGTTAGGTCAACATGTATTGTTGTGTATATATGTGAAAGGAGATCCTAGGAATGGGATGTGGTCTGGAGGGCAATCTTGATGGCTGGCTGGTGGAGAAGCTGAGTGTTCATGAGAGGGTGCAGGTCAACATACTGGGAGATAGTCATCTTACACTTGGAGGAACAGCTAAAAAAAGAAAGACAAAGGAGTGACCTGCTTTGTTAAAATTAAAGACAGCAGCCATCTCCTCATCTGCTTGCCCTAACCTTGTGTATCTCGAAACATTCATCGCAGGGTTCTCTGTACATTTTAGAAGTGGCTTTCAGAGGTATAACAGCTTCAAAAGGAAGATGTTGTTAACATATTTCATTTACTGCTTTTGGCTTCACTATGTAGATTATTTGTATCCCACAAAAGTCAGAATGCAAATCTGCACAAAAGCTATCTATGAAGCATTTCAAAAGTAACAGGCCATTTTTTTTTTAAACCCTTTTCCTATCACACCCTCTATCATAGAGGGTACAAAGTCATCTCACAAAGCACAATGACGGCTGTACTGCCTGGTGCTCTAACAGGTTTCTAGGGAAGAGATTATCTGATCTCCGGACCTTATAAAAAGCACCTCCAAGAGACCCGGAAACGGACGTGCAGTACTATGTGGACTGTTCTTTGTACCACAGATTTACCATCTGTCAGCATCTGAGGGAAGCCCACCCCTTCTCCAGACTCATAACATTGTTGCATAACACCAGTGTTCATGATGCCACGCTCAGCATCAACTGTGGGAGTGTGTGAGGTGACTGACAGTTCTTCTTCTTAGAGGCAGGGCATCCTCAGTGAGCTGTTAACAGTTACCCTGCCTCTTGGGGATTCCTTTCTGAATCTGTATGCTCAGACTACCCCCATATGACAGTATGTTGGGAAAGAAATCAGCTATATATAGTCAATAGCATGGCTGAGAGTGACTGGTGTGGTCTGGGAAAGAGTAGGTCTCTTTGGCTTCTCTGGGGAATGCCTTTTGCACTTGAGATGCATGCTAAGGAAACCGCTCCCACTGATGCCCACGCTGACCTCACAGCAATTCCTGAGCCCCTTCTGGTGCCTGAGCACTGCACTGTGCAGAAAGGCCCACAACAATAGGTGGTGATGAATCTGGTCAGGTTATCCAGGGTCATCTGTCTCTGTGACACAGCAGGAACTATACTTGTGAGATTTGGCAAAGATCACACACCTGCTCACACTTCTCACCAAGGCTCTACTCCTGCTAGGTGACACCAAGGAAGGGACCACACTGGAGGCAGCTTAGAGGCTTTCCCAAAGACCTGAGACGACCTTGGAAATGCAATAATATTGTGACACCTCAGACAAGTTTGACAGGTAGCTTGTTACCTGGGAGAGTAAGAGCGCCTGAGAGCCTTGTGGGAGGGAGCGGTGGGGATGGAGTTAGGCTGAGAAAAGGGAGGTGGGTGCTTCGCTAAGCCGTCGGCACTCCAACCCCATAACCGACTGCAGTGATCAGAAGAGGAAAATCAGAGAGAGAAATACAAAAGGCAAAGGGGAGGGGATGAGGAAAGCACTACATGCTAAGTGTCTTAGTCTCCTCTTTCTTTGACAAAGTTCTATTAAAATTAATCAGAGCAAAATTAGCACTTCATCATACAGAGGAAAGAACAAATTTTGTTTTACAATTTGGCCCTCGATGAGACTGCTTTATTCTTTCCCCTCCCAACCATGGAATGTGTTTACTACTTAAAATCACATGAGATTCCAAGCGTGTCTATGTGTGAGATTGTGTGTATCTGTGAGTATGAGGGGGTGTGTGTCTCTGCATGCACTGGGATGGACATAACAAGCACGATACACAAGAAAATATGGATGCTCACCTTCAGATAACTAACTCATCAGTTATTTTAGAAAGAACCAAAGAAGAATCATGGGGCCTCAATTCAAAGGGGACCAGAGGTACTCCAGCAGGAAGACTCAGAGACTGAGCTACTCTTTTCAGAGCACTCCAGCGTGGAGCAGTGTATTCTCTGAGGCTGTGATCCAGTTGGATGGCATTCAGAGACAGCACAGCTGTTTCCTTCTGAAACAACAGCAGCACCACTAGAGGGCTAGCGTGCTAAGTCTCAGCTGGCCAGCTCAGAGTACAGGGTCATAAAAACCAAATCTTTCTGCTCATATCACCTAGTATGAGAACTGAAACTTTTGGGGGAACACAAGTATTCATCCTCCCTTCACAAATGTCACTGGGTGCCTAGGCTTGCAGAGGCCCTGAAGGAAAGTTCTAACAACTGCTGCAACTTAAAACGATGGAGAAAGAGACTGGGAAAGTGGGGAGCTGGGCTAGCTGGTGATGGGGGTAAGGCCGCAGGTGAAGCCCACGGCATCAGCACCAGGCACCTACAGATCAGCCCTGCCTGCCACTGGCATGCATTGATGTCCCCACAGCAGGGGCTTCTGCATGCACAGGTATGGCCCTGCTTTATAAGGAAAGTAAGGTACTGAGATGCGAAGTCACTGTGGTACAGAGGCCTAAAGACACATTGGCCTCTGTGGGGCACACACTGGGTTGCAGGTGGGGGCATAGGAGGAATGCAGGTGACACCTCAGGCTGGGCCTCTGCTTGGGGAAGGAGCAGCAGACCCATTCACCTCGAGTGTGTGGTGGGGTCACCCTGTTAAGCGCCACTTTGATTCTATCCATACTCTGGATCCTCTGACAAGAGAATCACTAACAATTACTTCCTATTGCTAGGGACATACACGCTATTTACACAGAATCATCTGCTCTATGACATGTCTGCTGAGAACATAGAGCAGACCAGATTATTTCTGAAGCCCCTTGCAACTCTGTTTTTTATTTACCATAAAATCACGAGGTAAAATATAAATATGTCTTTCACAATGAAAGAACCTAGCACACAGATCTCTTCTCCAAATCCCAAGTAGTATTTGTGCATTAGTTGGTAATAGGTAGTTTATTCTTTCACACAGAAATGGAATGGAATATTTTACAAAAGTTTCGCCTATTACCTATAGCATCTCTACTACTACTGGGTTGATAAAAAGCGACTGCCTCACTGGTGAGATATATATATACATATATATATATGAGACAGGGTCTCGTTCTGTTGTCCAGACTGGAGTGCAGTGGCATGATGATGGCTCAATGCAGCCTCCCTGTCCTGGCTCAAGCAATCCTCCCACCTCAGCCTTCCAAGTAGCTGAGACCACAGATGTATGCCACCATGTCTGGCTAATTCTTATTCTTTGTAGAAACAGGGTGTCACTATGTTGCCCAGACTAGTCTCAAACTCCTGGGCTGAAGCAATCCCCCCATCTTGGCCTCCCAAAGTGCTGGGAGTACAGGCATCAGTCACCATGTCCTGCTACTAGTGATATTTTTTTAAAACTATCAGATTTATCATTTTAGAATGGTTTCTGATTCTCATCATGATCCAACTATAGAATTTTTGGACTAAAAAAAAGTTCATTTTGACAGTTAAAATAGACTGAAAACAGGCCAGGTGCAGTGGCTCATTGTGTTAGTAACTCCAGCACTTTTGGGAGGCAGAGGCAGGCAGATCACCTCAGGTCAGGAGTTCGAGACTCCATCTCAACTAAAAATACAAAAATTAGCCAGGTATGGTGGTGTATGCCTGTAGTCCTGGCTACCTGGGAGGCTGAGGCATGAGAATTACTTGAATCCAGGAGGCAGAGGTTGCAGTGAGCTGAGATCATGCCACTGCACTCCAGCCTGAGCAACAGAGTAAGACTTGGTCTCAAAAAAAAAAAAAAAAAAAAAAAAAAA